CGAATTCGGGGACAGCTCTTGGGGGCTCGAGGGGGAGGAGTTTGAAAGTTCCGGGGAACAAGAGGAGCGGTATTGGGAGAGCAGCAAGCACCCCAGCCAGGAGGCAGTGGTCCTGGGAGCGACCCCTGCTCGAAGGGAGAGATTTGAACTTGTTGGGAGGGCCCGGCTGGTCGGGCCCCAGGGGCCTGAAGGGGAGGGGCGCTTAGGGGTGCAGGAGGAGAATTGGCTGCCCGGGGTGCAGGAGGGACAGGTGTTTCGGGCTGTCCAGGAAACCTACCTAGAAGGGAAGGGGTTCCAGGAAGCCCAAGGGCCCCCCGAGTGGCACAGGACTCGAAGGCGCAGACGGAGGAGAAGGTGGTAACTCCAGGGCAGAGGGTTCGCGAACCCGGGGAGAGTTGAAAGGCGGTGCCCGAAGAAGACAGGCTGTGGCCTGCAGGACACGCTTTTGCCACCTCCGTCTGAGCATCATCGAAGCCGTGTCTGCAGGGAGGCCGAGGCAGCAGAAGGCAGCAGGTAAGGAAGTCCCATGCTGGTCTCCAGACTGCCCTCATCTTTAGCCTGAGGTGGGAAGACCCAGCGCGGCCTTCAAATGTGAGGCAGGATCTCTCCCGCAACAGCACCGCATCTGCCAACTGGAGTGATGGGGCGTCTCCTTAGCGTCTAGACAGCAGTCGAGACTGGTTGGGTGAATGCCAGGCATGGGCAGAAGGAAGGGAAGAGCAGCTCCAGGGCTGTAGTTGCAGGGTAGGTAGGAGCCCCTCACTTGCCTCCCCATGGAGAGAGGAGATGGTGGTGCCTCCATTCCCTCCCTGCAGTCAGCATAGGCTGCTTCCACTGGAAAACATTCCAGAGAAGGAGGAGGCAGCGGCGCATGAACAGGACTTGCTAGGAGACACCTTATCATTTAACCTTGTTGGGCACGTGAGCTGAAGTGTGAGTGTGGCGGCAAGTGGCTTGGGCACGAGCCTGACATGCTCCTGCCACACCTTCTTGTCACAGCTTATTTATGCCGAGGGCCCTGAGCCAACGACGAATAGTGGGCAGAAGGGCTGAGAGCTGCTTGCGAAGCAGCTTAGACCCCAAGCTGAAGTCTGCTCTGCTAGATTCTCTGCCTGCTTTGTGGCCTGAGCCTGAGGTGGGCAGAGGTGGCACCATGGGTTCTGTATTGTCCAGGGCTGCCTCCCAGTGTAGCTGGGAGGCTGGGCTTGCTGGGAGAGGGCTAGACTGGACTTACTGTGGATTGTGGCACGACCTGGTTGGCAGGCCCATTCCTCTTTTCTGACCCAGAACAGCTTGGTGGGCTAGCTCATGGGCCTCAGCTTGCTGGGCTGTTCCCAGCTCCCTGGCACTGTCTGAGCTCTTGTCTCCCTCACCCTGAGGTGAGGGTGTGTGTGGGCAGGATGGCCACCTACCTGGGCCCACGTCAGCCCCAACCTGAGGAATGACTCTGAGTCAGGTGGCCCTGGACCCCTGCCCATACTGGCCTGGGTGGGGATACTGCTCCCGGATGGGGGCGGCATCCCGGGTAGGTAGCCACTGGGAATGTGCTGGATGAGCCGGTTAGCCTGCACCTCCTGCAAGCCCAAACCCGTCTGTCAGCCTCGTCCCACTCCAAACAGGAGTACACAGGAAGTTCAGCCGCTGCGCTCACAGCCTGGTCACTGGGTCTTCTGGAGTGACCAGAGGAGAGAGGCCTGCCTGTTCTAAACACGAACACACACCATTACTCACTCGTCTCAGGCTGCGTTTCCTCGAGGCTTCGGCATCAGGCAGATCTGGGTTTAGATCCCGATAGAGCATTCATTTGATACTTAACTGTTTCAGGCAAGAGAACATCTTTGGGCCTCAGTTATCTTGTCTGTGAAATGGAGAGAAGACTCATACCTAGCTCCCAGTGCGGTTGTGAGGAGGAATGCGGGTAACACTCCTGGCCCCATGCCCCGAGCATGGCAGATGCGTGGTCCACAGTTGAGTTTAGCTCCTTCGCTGGGCCACAGCTCACGGCTGCAGGAGCCTCCTCCTGGCAAGGATTAAGAGGAGCTGAGCTGGGTGTCCTGAATGCATCGAAGCCAGACCTATGTTCTTTAAACCAATCTCTGCCTACCCTGGAAATGGATTTAAAGCAATACAAAAACCTTTATGAAGGTATAATTGACACATGGTAAACTGAACATACTTAACACTGAATAGTGTTCCATTGATCAAATATGTCACAATTTATTTTTCCATCAGCAGTGCACAGTATAAGAGTTCTAGTTCCTCTGTATACTTGTCAACTTGGTCTAGTCAGTCTTTCCAGTTTTAGATCTTCTCATAGGCCTGTACTGCTTGCTATCTCATTGTGGTTTTAATTTGCATTTCTGTAGAGTAAGGATGGCATGTTGGAGGTGTCTCATTTCCTCCGACCTCTCTGAGCTAGAGAGACTACTAGCCCTCGGCAGCCCAAGGCCGATTCCTATGAAGCAGAGGTCAGACATGCCTTCTCTCTCCAGAGCTCGATAATGCACTGCAGTGGCCGTACAGAACTCACAGACCATACTTGGAAGAATGGGGTTTATTAAGGAAGTAACAAGTTACAATTCAGGATCAGAAATGCCCAGGATGTAGTTCTTTGATCAGAGGGTGGTATTTCCCTTGGGCTCTCAGGCCCTAATCTCTGCCCAACCTTAAGGCAGAGGCTTACTGGTGCAATGGGGCACCTGTGCACTTTAGCCCCCTCAGTGAGTGTCTAGAGGTGCCCATTGCACCCACCAGTAAGCCTCTGTTCTAAGGTGAGCAGCTTGTTGACCTCATGGGCCGGGAAGTCCACCATGCCTTCTACTGGTGTCCTAATTCCGCTGCAGCTTCTCACCCTCTCAGGTGTTGTTCTCTGTTTCCTGGGTTGGTCCTCAACCTTCCTCATGCCGCGACCCTTTACTACAGTTCCTCATGTCGTGGTGACCCCCAACCATGACATTATTTTCATTACTACTTCATCACTGTCATTTTGCTACTGTTATGAATCGTAATGTAAATATCTGATATGCAGGATTTCATTGTTACAAATTGAACGTAGTTAAAGCATAGTGATTCATCACAAAAACAATATGAAATTATATATTGTGAAATATTTATTTCTGATTCCAAATAAATGAAATTTTGTTTTGAAGCATGGTGTAGCATGGGTAACAGTCTTCCCTCATCTGTGGGTGTATCTGCATGTGGGCAGACCCGCCTGGAGACGGATAGAGGAGCGGTGTCTCAGTTCCTGAGATCATTGGAAATATGTGTTTTCTGATGGTCTTAGGTGACCCCTGTGAAAGGGTTGTTCGACCCCCAAAGGGGTTGAGACTCACAGGTTGAGAACCGCTAGTCTAGGAGATTCCAAACACAGGGCCCAAAAGATGTGCTTTGCTTCCGTAGCACCCCAGACTCCGGCTCTCCAGCTCTGGGATTAGCTCTTGCTTAAGCCTTGTTGGATAGCAAAGCTCACCAATTCATAGTTAGGATTCATACCCATCATTTGTATGGTGGCCCCCAACCCCACCCAAGGGGGCCATGTATCTTATTTGTATTAGTAGCAAGCTGTTCCAGCCTCTTAGTGGGCCATAGACAGCTTATTTGCAGTTTTTCCTGGTGGTCCTGCCAGGCAAACGCCGGACCGCTAGCTGTAACATTGGTGATTCAAACCTACCAACTGCTTCTTGGGGGAAAGATGAGACTATCTGCTTCGGTAAAAATTAGCAGCCTTAGAAAGCCTTTATAAGGTTGCTGAGTCTGAATTGCTAACCCAAGGTTGGTGGTTCAAACCATCAGCTACTCAACAGGAGAAAGATAACACTGTTCCCGTAAAAGTTTACAGCCTTGGGGACCCTATGGAGCAGTTCTCTGTCCTACAGGGTCTCTGTGAATCAGAATGGACTCCGTGGCAGGGGGGGAGGACCCAGTCACTGTGTGGCAGCCACACAGACCCACCAGAAGGGCTGTGCTAAGGATGTGAGTCATTCTCTGCACTACACCTAGGGACTAATGCGCATCTTTTCACGTGCTTGTTTATTTTTTACAGCAATGTGTCTTTAGTGAAGTGTCCGTTCAAATCATTTACCACCCCCATTTTTACCCCGGGGTGGTTTTGAGAGTTGCCTGTGTATTCTGGACACGGGCCGTTTATTAGATGCATGGTCTGTAAGGATTTTCTTCCAGACTGTGCCTTGCCCTTTCACCCTGAAGCGTATCTTTTGAAGAGCAGAAGTTTTGCGGTTTATTGTTTTTAAGTATTATGCTTCTGGTGTCTTAAGAAATACTTGCATAACCCAAAGCCACACGGTTTCCCTAAAGTTTCGTAATGGGAGGTTGCACATTCAGGTCTATGGTTTGTTTTGGGTGGATTCTTGTATATAGCAAGAATTATGAATCAAAGTTCTTTTTTTTCCCCCTTGCATCTGGATATTCATTTGTTCTCGTATCTGTAGATCAATTTGGGGAGAATTGACATTTTTTTCTTTTTTTTTTTTGAGAATTAACATCTTCACAATATTGAGTCTTCTGAGCCACTAACAAGGGACATTTGTTTGGATTTGGTGTAATATCTTTATTTAGGGTTTCATCAGTTTCTGCCTGATGTGTTTAGTAGTTTTGTGTATAGGTCTTACATAGCTTTTGCCAGATATCTTTTTACTTAATTAGTACCTAATTTGATGCCATTGTAAACATCAATGGAGCCTTTTTATTTGAATGATATGCTTCATAAAATTTCAATTCCCCCCCAAAAAATGTCAATTTCCAACTATTTGTGTTGTTACCATAAACATACAATTGATTTTTTTCAAAACCATTTCATTGGGAGCTCCTACAGATATCATAACATTCCATAGTTCAGTCACATCGAGCAGTATTGTACAATTGCTGCCACAGTTTCAGAAAAAAACACAGAAGATGTTGCCAACCAGATCAAGCCAAACATGTATCAGAGGGGAGACAAGTGACAAGTTTTAACCGTTCAAGTCAGGTTTATCATTTTGATCTGCCATAGTCATCTGTCCAAGACTCTCAGTTTGGCAATTCGTTTATTCCTATCCCTCAGTTGTGGAGAGAGGAGATACAATGGATTTGTATATCCTATAACCTTGGTAAACTGTATTATTAGTTCTTATAACATAGGCATAAAAAGTCAGCAAAATTTCAGCAAGTAGGATAGTTTTCTTATAATGTTTATGAGATGCACCTTTAATTTATTGCATTCTGCTCTCAGGTGGTATTAAACCAATGAAAAAGCCCACTGCCATCCAGTGGATTCCGACTCATAGTGACCCTGTCTAGGATTGTAAATCTTTACCAGAACAGGCAGCGTCATCTTGCTCCTGCAGGGCAGCTGCTGGGTTTGAACCACCAACTTTACAGTTTGTTGCCCAACAATTGACAGCACCACCAGAGCTCAAATGATATTGCTATCTCCAGAAAACCAATCCATTGCCCCCAAGTTGATTCCTATCCAGAGCAACACCAGAGGGCAGAATAGACCTGCCTCTTCCTTC